GCAGGGCTGGGGGTTTGGGGAAGGGGTGGAGAGGGGCAGGGCCGGGGGCAGGAAGAGGCGAGGCGGGGGTGGAGGTTTGGGGGAAGGGGTCGGGTGGGGCGGGACCTGGGACGGAGCAGGGGGTTGAGCACCCCTGGAGCCCAGAGGAAACCGGCACCTAGTGAAAGCAGCAGTTATTTAGGCTCTAAAACTCTGATTGACTCACCACCTGCAAATTGTTCCAAGCTCTTAATCTTTCCCCTCTCCTGCCTCCTTTCTCAATCGCTGTAGACAACACCTCCATCCTCCCTGTCACTCAAGTCTGTAATATGGTGTCACCTTCCACTCAGCCCTCCCTCTAGATCCTCACATCCAGGCCGGGTTCTAATCCTGCCACTTCTTTCTGCAAAACACCGGCCTTTCCAGCTGCCCAATGCCCCATTCTCAGACAGGAAACAACGTTCAGCACCAACTTATCCTCGCGGCGGAATCCCACTCCTGCTGACTGGGGTGACGTGATGGCTGATCTCTCTGACCCACTTTGCTGTGGCATCTCATGCACTCCGGGACAAGAGCGCTGCTGGCCCCTTAGCAAGCTTGGATGGTCCATGCTGCCAGGGAGCTGAAAACTATGTTCTCACACAATGGAAGCATCAGTGGGAAAGAGTCTAACTCCCTAGGGGCTTGTCTACACATGCAACACAGCAGTGGTGCAGCTGCACCGCTGTAGCGCTTCAGTGTAGACACGAGCTATGCCAAGGGAGGATGTCTCCCGTCAGTGTAGGGAGCTAGGCTGACGGCAGAATTCTCCCGTTGACTTAACACTGTCTACACCAGGAGGTAGGTCGGTTTAACTGCATCACTCAGGGGTGTAGATTTTTCACATCTCTCAGCACCAGTTATACTGGCCAAATTTCCTAGTGTAGGCCAGGCCTAAATACATTCAGGAATCCATTAGTGAACCTGCCTCCTTGTCCATAGATACTGGACCAGGCTGAGTAGACTACTCTCTGGCTCATCCACAGTGGCCGCAGCCATAAGAACGGCCATACTGGGTCAGACCAAAGGTCCAGACCAGACCCTGCATCGGCCTGGCCTGGTTTCCTCCCCATGCTGTGACCGTGGGGCAGCATCGCAGACAATAACCTGTGGTAGAAGAGAGCCCAACGTGACGTCTGGAGTCTGGTTTACAATGTCTAGCCTCCCTCGATACAGAGGCTATCCCCTGGTGGCTGAACTCTGCATATGAAAGAGGCAGTGGCCTTTAATCTCTGTCCACACAGCTAAATCTCTCATCCAGGCCCTCATCATCTCACATACCCGCTACAGCAACCTCCTCTTCTCTGGCCTTGACAAATGCCATCTAGACTCACTTATAGCCATTAAAAACACGGCTACTTAGATTGTCAGCTCTTTGAGGCAGGGCTGTCTTTCTGGTCTGTGTTTGTGCAGTGCCTAGCGCTGTTCACAGGGGCTTGTAAGCAGTATGGCTTTACAAACAATAAGCACAGAAGTCCTCTTCCTGGCTTCTCGTTTTGATTCCCCCCTTTGTGTCCCTCCGCTAGCGCCTCTTCCACTTCAAAGACATACAATAAGTGCCTTCACTGTAGAGCAGCGGTGGGCAAACCGGCCTGGGGCCGCATCCAGCCCTTCAGATGGTCTAATCCGGCCCTCAAGCTCCCGCCGGGGAGCGGGGTCTGGGGCTTGTCCTGCTCCAGCGCTCCAGCCAGGGAGCAGGGTCGGGAGCTTGCCCCGCTCTGTGCGTACCGCAGCTCCTGGAAGCAGCAGCATGTCCCTCTCTGGCTCCTATGCGTAGGGGTTTCACACACTGCCCATGGCCCCGCCCCAAGCGCTGCCTCTGCAGCTCCCATTGGCCGGGCACCTGCAGACGGAGCAGCGCGCAGAGCCGCCTGGCCGCGCCTCTGCATAGGAGCCAGAGGGGGGCCATGCCGCTGCTTCCAGGAGCTGCTTGAGGTAAGTGCCGCCTGGAGCCTGCACCCCGACCCCTCCCATGCCCCAACCCCCTGCCCTAGCCCCAATCCCCCTCCTGCCCTCCAAACCCCTCGGTCCCAGCCCAGAGCACCCCAAACCCCTCATCCCGATCCCAGAGCCCACACCCCCAACCAGAGCCCTAACCCCCACCCTTGCACCGCAACCCCCTGCTCCAGCCCGGAGCCCCCTCCCACATCCTGAACTCCTCATTCTGGCTCCACCCCAGAGCCCGCTTCCCCAGCCAGAGCCCTCACCCCCTCCCACACCCCAACCCCCAATTTCGTGAGCCTTCATGGCCCGCCATACAATTTCCATACCCAGATGTGGCCCTCAGGACAAAAAGTTTGCCCACCCCTGCTGTAGAGCCTTTGATGGCCTATCCCCGCTTGCTCCATCTTTTTTCATGTACCATAGACATGTCGACTCCTTCATTCATTCATTGAGGAAATGATGCCAGTCTTGATTGTCCATTTTAGAAATTTCCCCACAAGCCAACTCTCATTACACCCCCTGTGCATGGGAGAAGCTCCCCGAAACACCTCTGCAAAGCCACCTCATTGTCCTCTTTCAAATCCCCCTGCTGCCAGGCCCACAGAAACCTCAGCACTGCTTAGGCAGCTGGTGTGCTGTGACCTCTGCTTTTCATCCTGACCCGTGTAGTCTCACTGTTTCCTTGTGTCTCCTCTGCCTGTTATATCCACCTACTGTCTACAGTCTTACACTTGGACTGTAAGTGTTCTGGGGCAGGGACTGTCTCTGTTATATATTTCTACAGCACCCAGGCATCTAGAGCTACCGTAATACAAAGAATAGATAGGAGCGTCTGTAACCGTGCGTCCACTCATGCTTGCCCCACTCCCCTGCTCCCTTCAATTGTTTGCTCTGCCCAGTTGGCAAGACTGTACCTTCCACCAGAGCGCAAGCAGTATGGGGCAGGGATTTCTCTCCCTCTCTGTGCAGCACCCAACACAACTGGGGCCTGATCTCAGCTGGGGTCTCACTGTAATGTCAGGGTCAAAGAATAATCAATCCCTGCCTCCCATCATGCACTGGGCTTTAGTGCTGTCCATGGACCTACTGGGAAGTGCACCAGAGACCAGCCCCAGCCCAGCCTGGCTGCTCTGACGGGTCAAGGCTGAGAACAAAGTGCATTAACTCAATCCCAAGTGGGGAGCCCACAGCACTCACTGTGGGCACTGGAAACGTCTCTCTCGTGCCTGCAGGAGAACTCGCAGCGGGTCTGGGGGGCAGTGCCAGACCCATGGGAGGGGAAGAGTGCAGCAGAGAAGGGCACTGTCTGCCTAGTTCCAGCAGGGGGTGCTGTCCCCAGGGTGGCATTTGAAATGGTTCCACTTTCGCCCTTACCTTCCTCGTCTCCACATCGAAGGGCTCCGGGGTGGGGGTCTTGGCTTTCTGGGGGTCCTCCTGAGGCTGGGAGAGTGCACGCGGGAGCAGCTGGGGCCTGGTGGCAGCGAAGTTCATCAGGGGATAGATCCCATTCCTGCCACAGAGACACTGTCAGGCGGAACCAGCCATGCCCAGGCCCAGCTAGCAAGGGGCGAGGGAAGGGTCATGGCCCGGGGGAGCTGTGCTCCAGGAGGAGGAGAAGCCGGGCCCTGTTGATGTGGGGGAGGCAGCAGGGCACAAGCCCTTCCCCCCCACTCCAGACATGGCTGCCTTGGGGGCCCACGTGGTTCAGGGGCTGTGAACAGAACGGCCCCCACGGGGAGGGGGACAAATCAGGAACTGACTCAGAAACCACTCAGCAGAAAGGAAACATTTCTGCAAAAGCTTCCCTGCAGTGTTCGTGACACTGGCAGCTCCACGCAGCCCAGGGACGAGGCATTGTCTGGCATCCAGTGGTCAGGACTGAACGAAACCAGCCACCCCACTGGTGCTTGCACTAGAGAGCCTTAGCTCAGGTCTCTGGACAGGCTGAGGCCCTGTCTGTCCGAGCCTCACTGGCAGCATGTTATCCACGCATGGAGCTTCTGAACAGGCCTGGCTGAGGGATCCGTGGGACACCACCCAACCCCGGCTCACCTGACATCCTCCAGGAACTTGTCAAGCTCCAGGAAGGAGACTTCTGAGTATCTGGAAAAGAAACAGGAGGGAAGAGGTTAATGGGGACAGCAGGGCAAGGAGGGGCGGAGAGAGGGGCTGGGGGAGAGGTGGGGCAGTGACACTAGGAGCACCAAGCCATCTTTGCTGGGCGTGGAGGTTGCATGGTTTCCTGCCCATCCACACTCCCTGCTGGGGCTGCCCCAAGATTCCCCTCCCCAGGGGTCTCACCTCCACTGCACTGCGGGACGTCCCTCTCGCCGGATCTCCGCCATCACCATGTTCAGGTCCAGCTCCTTCGTCTTCTCCTCCACCACGTTCTCCGGCATCAGGTCTACAGCAAAGCCAAGAGAAGAACCTGTCAGCTGGGAGCTCTGCACAAACTCTCCCCACAGGCAGGGGCCTGAGCCTCCCCTTTCCCCGAGGAGGGCCCAGAGAGCCTCTCCCATGCCCTCAGCTGCGCTGGGGCAGGGATTTGGGCGGCTGCCTCTGGTGCAGCCCTGCTCAAGGCTCAGTCTAGTGCCAGGGTGCTGTGGCTAAGTGTCCCCGTTCCCCGTCCCCACTCACTCACACTGGTTGTTGATGAAGCAGTGCGCTGCCAGCAGTTTGAGGGAGTGGACCTCAAAGAGCACCTGGTGGAAGAGCAGATTATGGGCTGTTGGCCGCTTGTCCGGGTTGAGGAGCAGGCACCCCAGAATGAAGTCCTGAGAGGCAAAAGGGGGGGGGGCATGAGCCTGCGGCAATGCAGAGACCTCCCCCCCTGCAGCCCCACCACAGCGCCCGTCCCCTCCTCACGCCCAGGAGAGGCAATGAGTGCCCGTACTCTGAGGGCTCCAGTAGCCTTGTGCCAATGGGCAGCGTCACCAGAGGGCACTGCAGGGTGCACAGACTTTGGTGCAATGATCGTGGAATTCGTGGTACCCTTTTAGGGGACAATGTTCCTGGGGGTCCTGTTGCAGCATGAGGCTGGGCTACCAGGAGCGCTGGCTCCTAACGCGGCTGAGCAATGTGAGGGTGGAGGATGCAGGGGAAATTCAGCGGGGGGGGGGGGGACGTCTAACAGCCCGTCAGAATCAGCACCTGAGAGCCCTTCCTCTGCGCTCACAGGCTAGGAGGCATCCAGGGGCTGGGGCGAGAGGAGTCAAGACACACAGCCAGACGGGGGAGCTGGAAATGCTTAATGACGGCCTGCAGAGGGGAACTGCTGGACGCGTGCCCTTTTCGGCTCCTCAGTGGAAAAGAATGGCTGGGGAGGCGCTCTGTGACCTCTCTGCTCTGCTTCTCTCTAGTACCCCTCCCCCCAAAAGGTTTGCTGCTTTATCACCATAGAGGAGTCAGGAATGACAGGTCCTGCCTCCCCTGTTTGCTGGAGGACTTCTGGGAAGAGCAGGAGGCAGGAGCAGGAGCTCTCAGCCCTCAGTGAGGGAGCATCTGAATCGCTAACAAAGAGCTTTGGATTTAACAGGGGTCAATAAAAGCCAACCAAAAGCACAACCTTAAACGGCCTGGCTGTCCTTCCCCCCAGTTCCTCTGGCTCCTCGCCCTTGGGAAGAGTGAAGTCACAGTCCCACCAGCTCCAAAGTCAGACAGGTCAAATTCCAAGCAGGAAAACCAAGCATACGGAGCACCCCCTTCACAGCCCCTTTCTCCATTAAAAGGGCATAAGCCCCAGGTGTTTGTGGCCTTTTCCGGGTCACCTTTAAGGACAGAACAACAGGGCGTGTGCTGTGCCCTGACTTGGACACAGGGATTTAAGGCCTGTCCCCACCCTGTAAACACTCAGGGGAAAGGCTGGGAGCCCATTACAACTGCACAGGTGCTGCTGCTGTGTCCCGGGGGACTTCTTACTCTGGAATGTTCCAGGATTTTCCTTCCACTCCATCCCTGCTAGTACAGAGCAGCCACCTTTGAGCGGGGGCTGCCATTCCACTAGCATAGGGGAAACCCAGCAAAAGTCATAGAGCTCCGAGCCGGAAAAACCCCAATAGATGTCTGAGGGATCCAGGCAGGGACATGAGAAGGGCCATGCTGGGTTAGACAAATAGTCCACCTAGCCCAGTATCCTGTCTCTGATAATGGCTGGTGCTAGATGCTTCTGGCAGTTGGAGGTTTAGGGACACCCAGAGCATGGGGTTGCGTCCCTGCCCATCCTGGCTAATAGCCATTGATGGACCTACCCGTCATGAACTTATCCTGTTCTTTTTTGAACCCTGGTATTGTCTCGGCCTTCACAACATCCTCTGGCAAGGAGTTCCACAGCTTGACTGTGTGAAGAAATACTTCCTTTTGTTTGTTTTAAACCTGCTGCCTGTTAATTTCCATTGGATGACCCCTGGTTCTTGTGTTATGTGAAGGGATAAATAATACTTCCTTATTCATTTTCTCTACAGCATTCATGGTTTATAGAACTCTATCATATCCCCTGTTAATTGTCTCATTTTTAAAATGGAAGTCCCAGTCTCTCTCCTTCTGTAGAAGTTGTTGTTTCATACCCCTAATCATTTTCATTGTCCTTCTCTGCATTTTTTCCCATTCCAATATATCTTTCTTGAGATGGGGCAACCAGAACTGCATGCAATATTGAAGATGTGGGCATACCATGGATTTATATAGTGGCATTATGATATTTTCTGTCTTATTATCTATCCCTTTCCTAATGATTCCCAACACTCTTTTCACTTTTTTGACTGCCGCTGCACATTGAGTGGATGATTTCAGAGAGCTATCCACACTGACTCCAAGTTCTTTTTCTTGAGTGATAACAGCTAAATTAGACCCCATCATTTTGTATGTATAGTTGGGATTATTGTTTCCAGTGTGCATTACTTTGCACCTATCAACATTGAATTTCATCTGCCATTTTGTTGCCCAGTCCCTGAGTATCCCTTTTGTGAGATCCCTTTGTAACTCTTCACAGTCAGCTTTGGACTTAACTATCTTGAGTAGTTTTGTATCATCTGCAAATTTTGCCACTTCATTATTCACCCCCTTTTTCCAGATCATTTATGAATATGTTGAACAGCACCGGTCCCAGTACAGATCCTTGGGGCACCCTGCTATTTACTTCTCTCCATTTTGAAAACTAACCATTCCTACCCTGTTTCCTATCTTTCAACCTATTACTGATCCATGAGAGGACCTTCCCTCTTATCCCATGACTCCTTGCTTTGCTTAGGAGCCTTTGGTGAGGGACCTTGTCAAAGGCTTTCTGAAAGTCCAAGTACACTATATCCACTGGATTCCCCTTGTCCACATGTGTGTTGAAACCCTCACAGAATTCTAATAAATTTGTGAGGCATGATTTCCCTTTACAAAAGCCGTGTTGACTCTTCCCCAACATATTGTGTTTATCTACATGTCTAATAATTTTGTTCTTTACAATAGTTTCAAGCAGTTTACCTGGTACTGAAGTTAGGCTTACTGGTCTCTCATTCCCAGGAGCCTTTTTAAAAAAATTGGCATTACATTAGCTACTCTCCAGTCATCTGGTACAGAGGCTGATTTAAGTGATAGGTTTCACACCACAGTTAGTAAGTTCTGCATTTTCATATTAGAGCACCTTTAGCTCCTCAATTGTCCAGTGGCTCAACCGACTGTTAGGCAGGCTTCCTGCTTCTGATGTATTTAAAAAAAAATTGCTGTTAGTTTTTGTGTCCTTAGCTAGTTGCTCTTCAAATTCTTTCTTGGCCTGCCTTATTATACTTGACTTGACAGAGTTTCTGCTCCTTTCTATTTTCCTCACTAGGATTTGACTTACAATTTTTAAAGGATGACTTTTTGCCTCTAACTGCCTCTTTTACTCTGCTGTTTAGCTATGGTGGCATTTTTCGGTCCTCTTACTGTTTTTATTTGGGGTACAGATTTAGTTTGAGCTTCTATTATGTGTTTTAAATAATCTCCATGCAGTTTGCAGGCATTTCACCCTTGTGACTCTTCCTTTTAATTTCCAGGTAACTAGCCTCCTCATTTTTGTGAAGTTCTCCTTTGTGAAGTTAATGCTACTGTAGTGGGTTTCTTTGGCATTTCCCCCACCCCCCAAGGATGTTAAATTTAATTATGTTATGGTTGCTATTACCAAGCAGTTCAGCTGCATTCACCTCTTGGACCAGATCTTTGATCTATTTAGGATTAAATCAAGAATTGCCTCTCCCCTTGTGGATTCCAGGACAAGTTGCTTCAAGAAGTAGTCATTTATGCTGTCTAGAAATTTTATTTTTGCATCCCATCCTGAGGCGACATGTACCCAATCAATTTGAGGGTAATTTATTATTATTATTATTGTTATTGCATTTTCTCCCTTGGTAGCCTTTCTGATCTCCCTGAGCATTTCACAATCACCCTCACCATCCTGGCCACGTGATCAGTAGTATATTCCTTCTGCTATACTCTTATTATTCAAACATGGAATTTCTATCCATAGAGATTCTATGGTACAGTTTGATTCATTAAAGATTTTTACTAATTTGACTCCATGCTTTCTTTCACATATAGTGCAATGCCTCCACCAGCGCAACCTACTCTGTCATTCCTGTACATTTTGTACCCTGGTATTACCGCGCTCAGCTGGAGTATTGTGTCCAGTTCTGGGCACCACATTTCAGGAAAGATGTGGCCAAATTGGAGAAAGTCCAGAGAAGAGCAACAAAAATGATCAGTGGGCTAGAAAACATGACCTCTGAGGGAAGAGTGAAAAAATTGGGTTTGTTTAGTCTGGAGAAGAGAAGACCGAGAGGGGACATGATAACAGTTTTCAAGTACATAAAAGGTTGGTATACAGAGGAGGGAGAAAAAATTGTTCTCCTTAACCTCCGAGGATAGGACAAGAAGCAATGGGCTTAAATTGCAGCAAGGGTGGTTTAGGTTGAACATTAGGAAAAACTTCCTATCAGGGTAGTTAAGCATTGGAATAAATTGCCCAGGGAGGTTATGGAATCTCCATCATGGGAGGTTTTAAAAGCAGGTTAGACAAACACCTTGCAGGGATGGTCTAGATAATACTTAATCCTGCCATGAGTGTGGGGGACTGGACTGGAAGACCCCATTGATTATCCTCATTCCACCCAGTTTCTGCAATGGCTTTTATATTAATATTCTCATTTAATGCTAGTCACTTTAGTTCACCTATCTTAGTATTTAGACTTCTAGCATTTATATATTTTGTCAATATTCATGTGTTACATTTAAATGGGACACTTGTATGTTTGACTGTTCCTCACTAGCTCCTTCCTGGACTTTACTAACTTCTTTCCTATACTCTTTACTAGGATACAGAGTTTCCCCTTTGATAAACTCATCCCTAAAAGATGTCTCTGCTCGAACTGCGTGCTCCTCTGCACCTGCCAGCTTTCCTCCTGTCCTTAATTTAAAACATCCTCTACAACCTTTTTAATTTTACGTGCCAGCAATCTGGTTCCATTTTGGTTTACGTAGAGCCCATCCTTCCTGTATAGGCTCCTCCTTTCCCAAAACATTCCCCAGTTCCTAATGAACCTAAAACCCTCCTCCCTGCACCAATGTCTCATCCGCACATTGAGACCCAGTAGTTCTGCCTGTCTAATGGCCCTGTGCGTGGAACTGGAAACATTTCAGGTCCTGGACTTTAATCTCTTACTTATCAGCCTAAAGTTGGTCTCCAGCATCTCTCTCCTAGCCTCCAGACCTGCCCCATAGAGCTTGGGGACTCTAGATATAATCTCCCTCCATTCAGAGGGTTGGGCTGGAGGGAGATTGGGCCAATGGGGGGACCTGGAGCCCCATGGACCCTGAGAAGGAGACTGGAGTGGGGATTGGGAGCCCCGTAGTTCCCGAGACGGAGATTAGGACTGCGAGGGCATGGGGGGGATTCTGAAGCCCTGCAGAGCCTGAGAAGGAAATTGAGATGGGGGGAGCCCCAAGCCCGAAAACAGGTGACTTGAGGGAGCCCTGAGCCCATCAGCAGGTGGGGCATTGTGGCTAGGCCTCTTTGCAATGTCCTTGGTGTTTCCTGGCGGGGCTCGGTCCGCCTCACTCACCCGCATGTTGGGATCATCCAAGGAGTGCCTTGCCCGAGCAATCGCCTCCTCGGAGACTCGGCTGTCCCCATTGGACTGGATCTCCAGCACCGCCATCTGCAGGGGAGATCAGAACTTAGCCCCAGCCAGGCTGGCCAAGCCGCAGCCCCTCTGCTCTCATTAGGGAGCTCCTACTCAGACATTCCCTGGGCAGGGGGACACTGCTCTGGTGCCCCTCTGGTGGGACGGGAACAGGTGTCAGGCCAGGCCAGTGACGGTCTCTCAGGCCGGACGTCTGGGTTCCCCCTAGCTCCACACAAGCTGTAGTCATAATGAACAGGTTGGATTATGAACAGGAGGCTGCCAGGCAACTCTCCAACACCACATTCTACAGGTCACTGTCCTCCGATCCCACTGAGGAATACCAAAAGAAACTACACCATCCGCTCCAGAAACTCCCTGCTACAGCACGGGAACAAATCTACACAGACACACCCCTATAGCCCCAACCAGGGGTATTCTATCTGCTACCCAAGATCCATAAACCTGGAAACCCTGGACGCCCCATCATCTCAGGTATTGGCACTCTTACAGCAGGATTATCTATTTGGACTCTCTCCTCAGACCCTATGCTACCAGCACTCCCAGCTATCTTCGAGACACCACCGACTTCCTGAGGAAACTACAATGCATTGGTGATCTTCCTGAAAACACCATCCTGGACACCATGGATGTAGAAGCTCTTTACACCAATATTCCACACGAGGATGGACTACAAGCTGTCAGGAACAGTATCCCTGATGAGGCCACGGCACACCCGGTGGCTGAGCTTTATGACTATGTCCTCACCCACAACCATTTCAGATTTGGGAACAACTTATACCTTCAAGTCAGTGGCACTGCTATGGGTACCCGCATGGCCCCACACTATGCCAACATTTTTTTGGCTGACTTAGAACAACGCTTCCTCAGCTCTCGTTCCCTAGCGCCCTTCCTCTACTTCCGCTACATTGATGACATCTTCATCATATGGACTCACGGGAAGGAGGCCCTTGAAGAATTCCACCTGGATTTCAACAGTTTCCACCCCACCATCAACCTCAGCCTGGATCAGTCTACACAAGAGATCCACTTCCTGGACACTACAGTGCAAATAAGTGATGGTCACAAAAACACCACCCTATACCGGAAACCTGCTGACCGCTATACTTACCTACATGCCTCCAGCTTCCATCCAGGACACATCACACAATCCATTGTCTACAGCCAAGCCCTAAGATACAACCGAATTTGCTCCAACCCCTCAGACAGAGACCTACAAGATCTTTATCAACCATTCTTAAAACTACAATACCCACCTGGGGAAGTGAGGAAAAAATTGACAGAGCGGGACGGGTACCCAGAAGTCACCTACTACAGGACAGGCCCAACAAGATAAAAAACAGAACACCACTGGCCATCACATACAGCCCCCAGCTAAAACCTCTCCAGCACATCATCAATGATCTACAACCTATTCTGGAAAACGATCCCTCACTCTCAGAGACCTTGGGAGACAGGCCAGTCCTCGCTTACAGACAACCCCCCAACCTGAAGCAAATACTCACCAGCAACCACACACCACACCACAGAAACACTAACCCAGGACCCAATCCCTTTAACAAACCCCGTTGCCTACTCTGTCCTCATATCTATTCCAGCGACACCATCAGTGGACCCAACTACACCAGCCACACCATCAGGGGCTCATTCACCTGCACATCTACTAATGTGATATATGTCATCATATGCCAGCAATGCCCCTCTGCCATGTACATTGGCCAAACCGGTCAGTCTTTACGTAAAAGAATAAATGGACACAAATCAGACATCAGGAACGGTAACATACAAAGCCAGTAGGAGAACACTTCAATCTCCCTGGACATTCAATAACAGATTTTAAAATAGCCATCCTTCAACAAAAAACTTCAAAAACAGACTTCAAAGAGAAATTGCAGAGCTACAATTCATTTGCAAACCTAACACCATTAATTTGGGCTTGACTAGGGACTGGGAGTGGCTGGCTCACTACAAAAGCAATTTTCCCTCTCTTGGTGTTGACACCTCCTCATCAATTATTGGGAGTGGACCACATCCACCCTGATTGAATTGGCCTTGTCAACACTGGTTCTCCACTTATAGGGTAACTCCCTTCTCTTCATGAGTCAGTATATTTATGTCTGCATCTGTAATTCTCACTCCATGCATCTGAAGAAGTGGGTTTTTTACCCACGAAAGCTTATGCCCAAATAAATCTGTTAGTCTTTAAGGTGCCACCAGACTCCTTGTTGTTTTTGTGGATGCAGACTAACACGGCTACCCCCGATACTATTTCCACTCAGGGCTCCAGGGCCTCTCTCCACCCCATTGTGGGGAGGATGAAGCACTCGATCCTGAAGCTGGCTTGTGGGTCCTGCCCAGAGGGACTGGTGTCAGGGGGTGGGGCTGCAGTGGGAGGGACTGGCAGCCCTGCTCCCTGGGGCCCCGAGCTCACCAGTACAGGCAGCAGTGGATAGCCACTCCCTGGATACATCCCCTGGGGAGGGTAGCAGTGCAAGTCCCCCTTGTGAGCAGCTTCTCCCACTGGCCAAGGGAAACCTCACACCCATGTGTGTAACAGGCCCTGAGGGGTAAGACCAGTATCAGCCGTGCCCTCGGGCCAGAAAGGGCCTCAGCAGGAGGCGGGTTCAGTCTGGACAGAGGTGGCTGAGGGAGGCATCTCACTCTGGGAAGGGGAGTCATAAGTGGGTGGGGCCAGTTCTCCCGCTGCTCCCCAAGGAGGGTAGCCGGGGCAGCAAGAAATGGTCACCCCAGGAGCAGAGCCTCCGTCACAGCAATGGGGGACGGCAGGTCCGCAGAGCCTTCGTCGGAGAAGAGAGGGCCTAGAGCTGCCCTCACAGGGGCAAGTGGAGGGCACCCAGACTCCATTCGGCAGGGAGCTCCTTGGCTGAGCTGAGATCCCCTTGCTCCTGCAGGGTCAGGGGAATGAATTCACCCTGCCCCAAGCCCCAAGGGAGACAACCCTTCGGGGAGTTCCTGGGATCTGTACTGGGGTCTCCTGGCTCCTACCTCCAGGGCGCACATTCCAAAGGAGAAAATGTCCACAGCTGTCCCGTCAGCTACATCTGCAAAACCAAACCAGACTGGTGTTCCAATCCACCACCACTTCTAGGAACACCCCAATACACACCTGCCCTATGCCACACACATACACATACCCCCCTCTGCCCCATGCATCACCATGCCCCCCGCACCTTCCCCATTTCCCCCTCCCCCATGAATCTGCCCCATGGCCCCCTTTTCCGCCCTACACACCTGCCCCATGCCCCTCCCCAATACCTACTCCATGCCACCCCTCTGCCCTCCCACTGCAGAGGGGATCTGAACTTACGGCCATACTCCGGGGGGAAGAAATGCAAGTTGCGCTGCTCCTCTCTCTCAATCCTGATGGGGCTTCGGAGATCGTCAGGGATGGCTGCGTGAGGGGGACAGAGCATTCAGAGTCAGAAACCCCCTAACCCACAGCTTGTCCCCCAGACTGTGTTCAAAGACCTAGATCCAGGGAGAGAACAGGAGACTGCAGGGGTCTCTGCATTTGCTTCTAACTACAGCCTGCCCAGCTCCCAGGCAGTCAGAGCCCCCACGGCTCCTGCTCCCTTAGAGAGATTCCTCTCCTGTATCCGCAGGGGCAGAAAGGTCCCTGACAGGAAAACCAACTCTCACAGGGAAGAAGATCTTCCCCAAAGGCCTTCAGAGAGCTCCCTCCACACACAGTATCAGCACAGGCCCCTAGTGTCTGTTGTGCTTAATGGACCTAAACACTTAACCCCAATTGTAAGATCAAATGCAAAAGGTATGTGCCAGTTCATAAAATGTCACAATAACCCACTGTGACATTCTATCCCCTGGGGGAGCGTGCTGTCACCCCCATATTCCTCATTTTCATATAATCCTGATCTTACGTATAAAACATGCCTTGTAAGGTATCAGGGGAAAGATTATGATCTGCTGAAAGTCAGTTCTCTATCCATATATGTATATCATTCATGCAGATGAGAATTGTGTTGTATGGTTGTCACTAAAACATGCTGTAAGTTGGGGGAATCATCCAGATATTAGCTCCCCAGAGGCAACTGCAAGGAAAGTAACCAACGCCCAGGCAGGGTGTCAAACAGCCCATCAGCAGCCATTGTCCAGCAAAAAGCGACAAAGAGTCCTGTGGCACCTTATAGACTAACAGACGTATTGGTGCATAAGCTTTCGTGGGTGAATACTACTTCGTCAGATGCATGTAGTGGAAGTTTCCAGAGGCAGGTATAAATATGTAGGCAAGAATCAGTCTAGAGATAACGAGGTTAGTTCAATCAGGGAGGATGAGGCCCTCTTCTAGCAGTTGAAGTGTGAACACCAAGGGAGGAGAAACTGCTTTTGTAGTTGTCTAGCCATTCAGTCTTTGTTTAATCCTGAGCTGATGGTGTCAAATTTGCAAATGAACTGAAGCTCAGCAGTTTCTCTTTCCTGAAGTTTTTTTGCTGCAGGATGGCTACCTTTAAATTTGCTATTGTGTGTCCAGGGAGATTGAAGTGTTCTCCTACAGGTACATAGCAGAGGGGCATTGCTGGCACATGATGGCGTATATTACATTGGTGGACATGCAGGTGAATGAACCGGTGATGTTGTAGCTGATCTGGTTAGGTCCTGTGATGGTGTCGCTGGTGTAGATATGTGGGCAGAGTTGGCATCGAGGTTTGTTGCATGGATTGGTTCCTGAGTAAGAGTTGTTATGGTGCGGTGTGTGGTTGCTGGTGAGAATATGCTTAAGGTTGGCGGGTTGTCTGTGGGCGAGGACTGGCCTGCCTCCCAAGGTCTGTGAAAGCGAGGGATCGTTGTCCAGGATGGGTTGTAGATCACTGATGATGCGTTGGAGAGGTTTAAGCTGAGGATTGTAGGTGATGGCCAGTGGAGTTCTGTTGGTTTCTTTCTTGGGCTTGTCTTGCAGTAGGAGGCTTCTGGGTACACGTCTGGCTCTGTTGATATGTTTCCTTATTTCCTCCTGCGGGTATCGCAATTTTGAGAATGCTTGGTGAAGATCTTGTAGGTGTTGGTCTCTGTCTGAGGGGTTGGAGCAAATGCAGTTGTACCTCAGCGCTTGGCTGTAGACGATGGATCGTGTGGTATGTCCAGGATGGAAGCTGGAGGCATGAAGGTAGGCATAGTGGTCGGTGGGTTTTCGGTATAGGGTGGTGTTAATGTGACCATCACTTATTTGTACCGTGGTGTCTAGGAAGTGGACCTCCCGTGTAGATTGGTCCAGGCTGAGGTTGATGGTGGGGGGTGGACGCTGTTGTCCAGCAAGGGAACTACAATGCAATGACTCACCTGCATGAGGCCACAACAGGGAAATTGCTCAACCTTGCTTGGAGAGACTCAGCCTATGTCGACACTAGAAACTTCAAAGCACTGCCACGGGAGTGCCAGGGGGGTGATTTTTCACCCCCCTGAGCCACCAAGTTAGAGCGCTATAAAATGTAAGTGTAGACAAGCCCTAAGTAATGCTCACCTGACTTTGAGGGTGGGGGGACAAAGCCAAGAGGGAAGAAAGGACACGATAAAAGGGAGAGACGTTTGCCATGCTCTATCTCTCTCTTCCACCTAAATCTACAGACACCACAGCAAGCGACTGAAGTGCTGATCAAAGGGGAGAGCCTGGCTGAAGGGCAACCAGACAGCCTGTGGTGAGAAGCATCTAAGTTTGTAAGGACATTGAAAGTGTTACGATCAGCTTAGAATGCGTTTTGCTTTTATTTCATTTGACCAAATCTGACTTGTTATGCTTTGACTTATAATCACTTAAAATCTATCTTTGTAGTTAATAAATGTGTTTGTTTATTCTACCTGAAGCAGTGCGTTTGGTTTGAAGTGTGTCAGAGACTCCCCTTGGGTAACAAGCCTGGTACACATCAATTTCTTTGTTAAATTGACAAACTCATATAAGCTTGCAGCATCCAGTGGGCATAACTGGACACTGCAAGACGGAGGTTCCTAGGGTTGTGTCTGGGACCGGAGATATTGGCTAGTGTCATTTGGTTGCACAATCCAAGGAGCAGCTTACATGCCAGAGGCTGTGCGTGACCAGCCCAGGAGTGGGGGTTCTCACAGCAGAGCAGGGTAAGGCTGGCTCCCAGAGTCAAGGATTGGAATGACCTAGCAGATCACCAGTCCAGATAACACCAGA